TTGTTATTCGGTAAAAAGCCAATTTGAGATTTGTGGAGTATATTCAAAGAAACAATATACTCGAGAAGTCGTTGGTTTAAGATAGAACAAAATAGTTTTCCCAGGCAGCTGGAGACAATGATACCCTCTTGCCGGTAGTTTGCCGATCGCTTCGTCCGCCCGATTTATAAATGGCAGTAATAAGACCACCACGCCAAGTCTGTGGCATGGTCCCGTGCTTAAGAATTGAATTAAATAATTTTTCATATACAGGCATCAGTGTATCAATAATAGCTTTTATCATTTCATTTCTAATTTTATCCGGAAATGGTGATTTATTATTCTTTAACTTTTCCGAAGCTTTACGTATTTTTCTTTCAGTTATCATGAAATCTGTAGGACGAGAGTGTTGACCATGGCATTCATTTTGCCGTAGCTCATTGAAAATGTTTTGCTGCGCTGGGTTAAGAGGTTCATTTGAATAAAGATTGTGGAAATTTTCTTTCGAGATTGATGGAACATCCTCTCCTTTTCTAGTGTCGTCCATCGATTTGAGGCATTGCCAGAAAGTTTTCGCGTCTGAATTGTCTGCAGTTTTTTCTAGCTCAGAAATCTTGGCATTGTAATAATGATTCTTTTTAGAATTAAGTAATTTCTTGTATTGGGCCAGAGTATCATGGTATTGCTCACGTATGGTAGTATTCAAAGGGTCTTGATGTTTCTTGTTTGCTAGTTTTCGTAATTCATGCCTTTTCAAACGACATTCTTTATCGAACCATTTTTTGTTTGATAATGATTTGATACGCTTACGCGTTTTACCTGCTCTTATCTTTAAACAACGCAACAAAACTCCTCCAAAGGAAGGGAGGGCGGGTAACAGAATTACTGTAACTGTTTGCTTTCATGCAAGCTAGATGAATAACGACCAGGTGTGAAATAGCAGAACTTTTATAGCCAGACAGTGTCTCAAATCTTGACCAATAGATACAGTTGTACTATAAGCTACCAAGTCTTATGATGATAAAAGTCTAGCCATGAATAGGGCCTTGAAAACAGGGACCAATCTGCGCGATGCTAAGAAAAAATATGATGACAAGCTACCACAAATTAGGGACGCACTATTGAAAAAATTATGGGGGGTGGGGTGGGGAATTTTGAGCCGCAGGAATTTTTTTTTGAGATAAATATTAGCGATAAAAAATCACGACGTTTCGACCTCTCCGAGGTCATTTTCAAGTGTATAAAAGTTCTCTAAATTAGCATAAATAAGTTAAAAACAAGTTATAATAGATAAAAATGTGGTGAACGCTAAAATGTGATAAAATATGTAAAAATGTAAAAAGTGCTAAAAATAT